CAAAAGATCACACCTTAACATTAGAAACTTTGTAATTAAGATTTATAACAGTAAGTTGTCTCATAGCTAACAAGAGAATAGAAATAGCAGATAGAACCATATAAACTTTGGACAGTGGGAGAGTACATATCTTACTATAAACTGGAGTCTGCCAAGATTATGTAAGGACAAGAAACCTTTTATAAGCAGTTTCATGTTAATCTGAACAAACCAACTCAATTCATAGCTGACTTTTAAGCAATAGAGAAAAGTGGGTACATCTTTAACTATTCCTCAAATACACTTGCTTTTTTTCTTTCTTTTCTTTTTTTTTTTTTTTTCCCCTTAAATTCTCTTAAGTAAGTCTGTACCACCTTCATACTGATATTTAGCACCATGTAATGGGATATTCACCATTTAGCTTCTGGGGAATGTACAGGATGTTATTTACCCTGCGCTAGAATAAAGGGTCCAACTGTAATAAAAGTTCATCCTTGCTTTCTGCAGTAGAACGTCAATGCTGGAAGAGCAACAGCATGCTTTTGACCACGAAGCTGTAGCTTATTTACAAACAAAAGAATGCCCCCCTCCCGCTTTTCCCAGTTGCTTATTCATGATGATGATTTGATTAATAGTACTACAGGTTAAGTTTCCTTTACATTGGAAACTAGGGTAGGTTTTAATCACTTCATCTTAAACTGAATTGGAACAGAGCATAACAAACAAGCACAGCCTGGCATATGCGCTCTACTACTTTTACCATCTCTGTATGTTGTACAAGAAGACTGGTGCTGAATGATGTAACTATACACACACGCATATATAATCACGTTTTCTTAGAAAATGTAAGATAACAAATTTCTTGAGGAGGTGGGTAAAGGGCCAACAACCTGTAACATACCAGTATGCCTGTTACCACACCCCCCACCCCATCCCAAGAAAGAATTGTATTTTTTTAACAAAATTATTGGGATAGAGCATGGAGGGGTCAGAAATGTTATTTTCTTGGTAACAGACATGCTGGAGATAAACAGCTTTGGCTCTCAGTCAAAAGGCAGTTTAAACTCGGATTAATTTTAGGGATTTTTTGTTGTTGTTATCTCAATCCAATTTAAAAAAAAAAGATTTCTTAATTGCAAGCTTACACCCATTGCTCTGACAGTGAAATTATATTCAGTGTTTCATTGTTTTTGCACAGCAGTTCATAGCTATGGCCTACAGACTAGTGTATATGCATAGTATTAACAAAATGTTAGTACATCAGGT